ACGGCCGCTGGCAGAGGGGCCGGGCTGGGGTGATTCTGGGGTGATTCTGGGGACAGCCAGGGGGCTGGGGAGGTGACAATACCTTCACACTCGGGCTGGGTGCCGCTCCAGGAGCCGTTGGCCTGGCAGGTCCTGTCGGAGGAGCCGCGCAGGGTGTAGCCGGGCTCGCAGCTGAACCGCACCACGCTGCCCACGTCGAAGGTGTCCCCCAGCCCGATGCCATGGGAGGGGATCCCCGGGTCACCACACACGCCCTGGCTGCCCCCTGCACGGAGAGAGCAAGCATGTGATGGGTTTGGACCTTCTTCCCCCCTCTGAGGGGAACATAACTCTGACTGGCTGCAGGAATTCCAGATGGAACCATCCTCCCCCCCACTCCAGGTTTGAAGCTTGTTGCAAACCATGGCCATGACTCCTGAATGCCAGGACGGAGCTTCCACCAGCTGCAGCTGCTTCTGGTGGCAGCTGCTCCAGCATCAATCTTGTGGACACTCTGAGGCACGTGGTGTGACTCCTGGGGACAGTCCTGTGCAGGGCCTGCAGCTGGACTCCATGATCCCTGGGGGTCCCATTCCGTGACTCCGGGGTTGCTTTCCCTCCAAGCAAGAACTCCAGTGTGCTCCAAGCCCCCCCAGCACACCCCACTGTATTCACAGAACAGGAGCTGTGAGGTTTGGAGCACAGAGAGGGAGAAACATCCACTCCTGCAGGCTGGGAACACTCGGAGCTGGAATTGGGGAGCAGCTGGCAGGGGTTCCCTGGAGCAGGCTGGAGGGATGCCCACCTCCCTGCTGCCTGCACCGTGTTCCTGGCTTGCTCCACCACCAATCTGTGTGAACACATCCCCTCCCAGGGCAGGAGGGCCCATTTCCCTGTGGCAGCTGGTGATGAAGTGCCCAGTTCTGGGCCCTCTCGCTGCAGGTCCAGCCCCTGCTCCGTGTGACACAGAACATAATGAGCACATTCATCATGTGGGGAATGAACTTCCCTGGGCACAGAAGGGGCACAATGCTCCAGGTCCAACATTTCCTTTCACATAATGACTTGTGCCCAGGTCTTTTGTTTCATCTGGCAAAAAGTGCTGTCACACCGTGGGGATCCTCCACACACAGCCTTTGGCAGGAGCCCCGGGCTCTGCTCTGCCTCCTCCCTGCTTCTCTAACTGCTCCACCTGAGTTTGGTGGGAAGGAGGAGCCTTTCTCCAAGGCCTGGGGTGGAAATGATGGTTCTGGGATCCTGGGCATCTACCCAGCACCCCCCTGAGGGCCATCAGCCTCCAAGAAGTCATTCAGCAAACACAGCAGGTGTCAGTAGGAACAAGGCAGAACAAATCTGAGTGTTCCCAAAAATCCACCCACAGAGATGACAGGAGAGAGTGAGGAAGAACTACATGGAGAGAAGGCACGAACTGGAGCAGAAAACCCTCCTGAGCAGCTCCAGAGCAGGAACTCTGCAGACATGGCTGCTGAACACCAGGATGACTCCACTTAATTTCCCTTCCCCTTCCAAATCAGAGGTTAAACTTGGTCAAGTGGTGCTGCTGAATCTAAGTGGCATTATTAAAAATTAACACTTGTCCCGAGTGCTTTGCTCATTATGTCACATCCCGTGTGTTGTCCAAGGAACAAGGGATGGCTTGGGGAGGGCTTTGCACAGCACCCCACCCAGTCACCCAGCACCCTTCCCTCTGCTGGAGACCACCAGACCCCCCTGTCAGCACATCACTGCATCCCCCAGGATCTTGACCCAAATCTGTTCCACCAGGGACTTTTTCTCCGTATTAGGATGTTCTCAGGGCAAGACCTTTCTCACCCAGGAGTGGGGAAGGACTTCTGCTGCCAAACCCCTCTCTGTGGAGATGCTGATGATGTGGAAACTCATTGTAGCATCTTCCACCTGCCTGGTGCAGGCCTGGGGCTGCTGTGGGGCTGGAACAGCAGATGTCAGGCCCTGGAAAGAGCTCCTTTTATTGGAGAGCACAGGGAAGAGGGTCAGATGGTGCAGACAGGGTGCAAGGACCCAATTTTGCATCCCACACGTTCCTCCTGCCTGGGCTCTGCAGGGAGAACTCCTGAGCAGCAGCTGCAGCTCCCTCCCAGCACAGCCATGTGCTGCAGGGATTTATTTCTCCTCCTGCCAGCCCAGAGCTTCACTCCCTGCCAGTGTTGATCAGCCAAGGTGCAGGAGGCTGGGTGGCTCAGACATGGGGATTTCCAGCCCTCCACACCCTCCTTCTGTAGCAGGGGGGCTTCTCCAGCTCAGAGCCCCTCAGGTGCCCCCTCACAGGGTAAAAGGGCTGGAGGATGATCACAGAAGCACAGAATTGGAAGGGACCCACAAGGACCATCCAGTCCAACCCTCAGCCCTGCACAGGACCATCCCGAAAA